CTATTTGCTTACATTCTATAAATATGGAATATTACATAGCCTACAGAGTCTGTAGTGGTGTCCAGAATAGCAGCATAAATCTATATAGAATACAGCGTAGCTTTTTTGTGAGGTATATCATCTGCTGATCCCATCTCAGGTGAGGGTCCAAAATAATACCTAGATACTTAATGTTTTTGACAGGTCTAATATACAGATTTTGTTGAATGGTCAAGCCGAAATTTGGAAGAGACGTTTCTGTACTACTGAATGGCAAGTAGTGGGTTTTGGTGAAGTTAATTGAGAGAAGTCTGCTATCAAACCAATCTTTTAAATTATTCAGATCATTTTCAGTTTCAGTTTTCGTTTGGATGAATTCCCTTAATAACTCAAACATTTTCCATCATTTATTCCTCTCGAAAAACTGACATAAGACAAAATTGCCAGTTCTTCTCGTAAATTTACTGATCGGCAAATGTTTCTCGTTACTAAGAGGAATTTATCCGATAAAAATAAGCTCTTGTGTTTTTACTGTTGATAAAAAAAGTGCATCCTTTTTTCATCGTGTCAAAATGACTCACGTCGTCGTCAAATAGCGTTTTCGGGTAGGAGCTGATCAATTTAACAAAAATTTCATAATGCATTGCCACCCGAACTATGTATGTCTGCCAAATTTCAAATCAATCGGTCCATTTGAAGTGGGTCAAAATTGAGCCCAAAGGAGTGGGTAAGGGTAAGTGTTTATATAATAAAAAAAGCTTCTCAATGCATGATGAACCAATTTCCAGTAATTCAGTCATAGAATCATTGATGTTGAATATTTTTCCATGAAACTTGGTACACACCTATTCCAGAGGATGCCGATTCTAGTGGCGCATACGGATTATTTCTAAAAAATTGCTGATATGAATTCTGGATTTTTCAGCTCCTAAATGTGATCTACTAAGCCTCGGTTTTGCGAAAAAGCGGACGCAGCTTGTCTTGAAAATACGCCTCTTACCCTTTCACCATTTGAAAAAAATCATCGAAATCGGTCCGTAAAAATAAAAAGTGTATGAGGGTTGCCCGTTTCAAATGGGTCAGTGTGTGAGGCAGGGTCAATCAAAATGATGTATTTCGAAGATTGAAATTACAATGAATGCCCGTTTTGCTTCAAGTTTTGAACTCTGGGATATCATAATTACAGAAAAATGTGTCCTTGCCAAACTAAATTCGATCTTCATTATTCCAGATTTTTTTGGAATAACAATAATAATAATAATAATAATGTTTTCTCCTCGTCTCATACTTTTTCTGCCTAGGCAGTAAAAGTACACCTTTTCTGCCTGTTAAGCGGCAGAAAAAAGCCACTATCCCTGCCGCTTGGCTGAAAAAATATGAATACTATTTCAATATACGTGTAGTGAGGCCAAATCAGATGATTTGCTCCTAAATATCACTGCGTTTGAAGACTTCTTCTATCAGAGAGCCTAAAAGAAAAATCAACTAGCTTGTCAGTGACAATTTGTATTGAAAAAGGTTTGGCGAAGAGAAATAAAGGTATATGGAGAAAATATCAAATTCTCACTTGGACTTTGGACGTTTCGGAAACGAATCTGCTCCCGTTTTCAACATAAAAAATGGATTCTTTGTATGGCAAATTCGTATTTGTCTTGACACTTCTCAGTTCTCAGTGAGAATTGGTGACGTTGGCAATCAAATGAGTTACAGGAAGTTTTCATTAATTAATCTTGAATTCACCATTTCCATTTTCAGATTTCAGTAGTGAATACCATGTTTAATCTATATCAACTGAACAGGAAGCAATGGGACAAACTGTACATATTATATCAATCAACAATATTGAAACTTCACTTCAACGCCCCATATAACGAACCATTAGGAAGCATATAATGTTCATTGGAAAATATAATACAGAGCAATCATTGTTGAGGTTCCGCAAGAAAAGGTACGATCATCTTGATAAAAAAATCCCAAAATTTTTTCAATACAAATTGTCACTGACAAGCTAGGGAATTTTCCTTTCAGGCTCTCTGATAGGAAAATTCTTTAAACGCAGTGACATTTTGGGGCAGATCATCTGATTTGTCCTTACTTGTTTGTTTAATCTATGACACGTATATTGAAATAGTATTCATATTTTAATTTCATAGAGACGAGGAGAAAAAATTCCAAAAAAATCTGGAGTATTGAAGATCGATTATAGTTTGGCGGGGACACATTTTTCTTTGATTATCATATCCTAGAGTTAAAAACTTTAAGCAGAACGGGCATTAATTGTAATTTCAATCATCGAAATACATCATTTTGATTGACCCTGCCTTACACAGTGACCAATTTGAAACGGGCAACCCTCTTACACCTTTTATTTACGGACCGATTTCGATGATTTTTTTTTAAATTTGGAGGGGTAAGAAGCGTATTTTCAAGCCAAGCTGCGGCCGCATTTTCTCAAAACTGAGACCTATAGTAGATCACATGTAGGAGCTGAAATATCCAGAATTCTTACTTGCAATCTTTTTGAAAAAATCCGTATGCGCCACTGGAATTGGTATACTCTGGTATAGGGATGTACCAAGTTTCATGGAAAAATATTCAACATCAGCGATTCTATGACTGAGAATTGGTTTATCATGCATTGAGAAGCTTTTTTACTATTAACACCCACCCTTACCGACTCATTTGGACTCACTTTTGGCTCCACTTTTGGCCCATTTCAAATGGACTGATTTATTTGAAATTTATCAATCATATTTTTGTTACATGAATCAGCTCCTACACAAAAACGGCGATGTGAGTCAATTCGACATCGATAAAAAAGGATGCACCTTTTCTATCAACAGTAAAAACACTCTCAGATAAATTATGAACATACAAAAATGGATAAATATTTATATGAAGCAATACATTGAGAATTCGCATTCTCCATGTGATGAGAATATCTACTCTTTTTCAGTTTATTCAATAGAAAAATTGTTCTAAAATTGTTCTAAAACTGTTCTATCCGTCATTTGGTTGCCCCCTTACGAGCAACCCTCAGAAGTCTTCGAAAGACTTGTGCGAGCAAGGAATGACGGGGGCCTTACCTTTTAACGTGTGATCCCAAACACTTTCTTAGGCCATCAGAAAAAGTCTGCGTTCGTGGGTCTCGAACCCACGATCGATACCTCGACGTGAATCGATATTGAAGCATCGAAGCACTGAGGTACGCCGGCCGGCCGGCCGGCCGGCCGAAAACAACTACTTTCCTGGCTATATGCCACGACGAACATTGCATTATATCTATTGAACACATACGATAAGAGTTTGAAAATAAAATATAAAAACTTCTGAAATTGAGAATTTGCATTCTCCTTCGGACAAAAATATGTATATGCACACTTGTGATTTTTATAGACCTCTAATCGCAGATTCGTGATAGAGTCTCAATTCAGAATTTCTTTCCACGCCCTGTATGATGAATGTCTATTTATCATACACCCAAAAGCAGTAAAAACACATTGGTTTTTGAAATGAATGATAAATTGACATTCATCATACAGGACGTGGAAAGAAATTCTGAATTGAGAAAAACCTGATCACGAATCTGCGATTGGGGTCTATAAAAATAACAAGTTTCCATCGTTCGAGTTTGAACCCCTTGATTCGGTGAAAGTATTGAAAAGGAATATTCTCAGATATATTCATGAACACACAAAAATGGATATATACAGTGTGACCCATTTAAAATGGAACCACCCCTGTATCTTACGTAATCGTTGGGTAAGGATCCTGAAATTTGCTGGAGCGAGAGATATACCAAAAATTCACTTTATGACCAAGTGAGGTCATCTTCAGTGATATACACTGCTCGCCAACAGCCATGAAACTACCCCAATTTACGGAAAATGATATTAGGAATCAAAATAGGTCGAAAATCACTTCAGATTTGGAATCAGGACGCCCAATTTACTAACAATTCAAATTTTTCCTGGAAAATTTTCAGTTTGGGAAAATGAAATTTTGTCGCATTTTTTATAGAAGCACCCCCGTATCTCACGTAATTGACTTTATCTTTGGACTTTCTCTTCCTCCGGCAAATTTCAGAACCCTACCTCAATAATTACGTGAGATACGGGGGTGCTTCCATAAAAAATGCGACAAAATTTCATTTTTCCGAACTGAAAATCTTCCAGGAAAAATTTGAATAGTTAGTGAATTGGGCGTCCTGATTCCAAATCTGAAGTGATTTTCGACCTTTTATGACTCCTAATATCATTTTCCGGAAATTGGGGTAGTTCCATGGCTGTTGGCGAGCAGTGTATATCATTGAAGATGACCCCACTTGGTCATAGAGTGCATTTTTGGTATATCTATCGCTCCAGCGAATTTCAGGATCCTCACCCAACGATTACGTAAGATACAGGGGTGGTTCCATTTTAAATGGGTCACACTGTATATATATATAAAGAAATACATTGAGTACTCGCATTCTCCATATGATGAAAATATCAATTCTTTCACGGTTTATTCAACAGAAAACAACTACTTTCCTGGCTATATGCCACGACGAATATTGAATTACATCTATTGAACACACACGATGAGAATTTGAAAACTAAATCTGCTGAAGTAGAGAATTTGCATTCTCCTTCATATAAAGATATGCATATAATATAATTCTGAATATTCAACACATATAATTCAATGTTCGACGTGGCAAATAGCCAGGAAAGTAGTTGTTTTCTGTTGAATATTCAGAATATTATATGCATATTGAGATTTCGATGAAATAAAATGCAAAAATCTCGGCGCTAATAAGCTGTCATGAATACAAGTTCACGAATAAAGTGAAACATTAACGATTTCAATTCTGAAAAAAAATTAAATTAACACTAAACGTGAGAAATACATATAAAAATTTCATTCTTTTATGCTCTTCATCTGAATTATGGTAGCAGGTTAGACTTCCAGAATTGAATACTTTTGCTATCGATTGAGATAAAATACTAAGTTTCTATTATCTGTATAGCATACCTTACCTATATAAGATATTTTTCTGCGGTTACCATCTCAACTATTGAAACAAAAAACTGTGCATCTGGAAAATGTTCATCCCATCTTCATGCAAACATTGATGATACGAACAGATTCACTCACACACTCACTAACAACATTATTCATAATAATTATAACCAGAGAACGTTTACCACTCGACTGTTTTTATCAACGCTTCGAATGCGTTGAATAAAGTTGTTCTTATGATAAAATACTTACTACAGGATGCAATATTATATAACTTGTATATCTCTCATGACTTTGAGCGAGTTCAAACGATATTCGTTATTCTATCCAGATTTTTGGTATACGATCTCCTCGTCTCCATAATAGGGGTGAGCAAATTTTTCGATACATAAATAATCATCCCCAATCTACGGATACCTGATATCGATGAAAAGTCAGGAGAAATAATATCGATAACATCAATTATTGGAATTATCACAATAAGCAATCAGTGGCGGCTCCTCGGTGGAGGCAACGGAGGCTGAGCCTCAATATCTCAGGCATCCAGATGACCAAGGTGACGTCAGGAATTGACGTCGTATGACGTGATAAATGACGTGAATAAGTCACAGCCCAATGACGTCATATTACTCACGTTCATTGACGTCATTCGTTCAAATTTGGTGATGACACGTGAAAAAGTTTCCTAGAACATGATGTGATGATCACAACTGACCTCTGATGACATATAATATTGATTATGCATTGTTGAGTCTGCTTGGTGCTCAGAATGGAATCAGTTACTCGTATTTGTATAAAAAAATATGTAGTTTGTGTCGGTGAGATGTAAGCAAACCAAAAATAGTTCGATAGCAATGAAAAGGATGTTGGCGAATTCAGCTTCACTTATTTGTTGAGTAACGTATATTCATGCATTATTTGTCACCCAACAAAAGTATCCATATTATAGTAGCCACATATTGAAGAACATGCGTAAATGTCCCTTCTTCTAATATGAACGCCTACTATCCTGCTTATTCGCAGGAGGAGACATTTATTTAAGACTGATGATGGGCATTTGCTAATGCACTGTTTCATTATAATTTTTCGGGTATTTCGATATGGCAGGTAAGTTTTCTTTTTCAAAAGAGTTAAAAACTCATTGAAGAATGTCATAGTAGGACAAAAACAAAAATTGCACCAAAGAATAATTTTATTTATCGCCGCTAAGTTGGTGGTCTCGCGTTGTGGACTCAAGGCCACATGGTAAATTTCTAGTTTTTTCTTCCAGATGATAAAACGTTCCTATTTCGCTCTACTTACGATGTGAGATTATACCTTAGCGACAAGAAGAACTATTCTTTTGAATTTCATCCCAAATGAATATTTGTAATTATTGAAATTAACTGAAATAGTAGTAGTATATGTACTTTGTTGGTATGTGTGTACATTCCAACTGGCCATCTTCAGTCCAAAAGTGTTCTGAATTGTGTGTTCTGTGCACGCCTTGTTACTAACTCCATACGCCACCTTAGGAGTATAGCACTGTGCACTGTTGATTGGGACGCAACAGTGAATCGTGCAGGACTATCCCGAGCCGATGCAACAAAACTCAACAATATTCATTTTGTGACTTGAATATTGAAAAGATTCCTTGGCCTTCCTGAGATTCGAACTCACGACCTCCCGATCATGAGTCGGACGCTCGTCCACTACGTCAATCTCGTCTGAAATGAAGAACTGAAAATTCATCTTGTGTGATCTCAACGATGTTTTAGTTCCTAGTGTCTTCAAACCGAGGACACGTCCTGAAGCCTTCAGCGAAGGTCTGAAAATGAAATGACATGCATATACACCTTATTGAATCACAAGTTGATGAATTTATGCTATTAGTTATTGAAATATAGCAAGTAAATAAATTCAGGGCCTCAAAGGGCTAAATAGGGAATTATTGAAAATTTTTTCGAATGAACGAAGCTAACCGAATTGGTACGTCACACCAACGTAATTTCAAGACGTCATATATATACATATATATCTTGATTGGTTTCCAAGATAAACAGGGTGTCGAAGTTCAAAAAATAAGTTTTCTCTCACTTTTTGGGTATATATGATTCCAGTAAAACTTGCATGTTGATTTGTTTCAATGAGTTATACTTCTATCGACGTTAGAAGCATATATATAAAATTACCAAGACGTACAAGTTTCTATATCTATATATGTGTGTAAAATTAATGAGAAAACGATTTTTTACTGAAAACTTTTCGACGCCGAAAATGCTCATCCTGTCTAACGGTTTTATAAGGTTTAGATAAGGTCTGGGAAACATGGACGTCGACAGGACGTCTCTGCAACGTCATGAAACTCTCTTATTTTACACTCCTGAGTGACGTTCTCTCGACGTCGAGATGATGACGTGATTCTCATGTCATAGAAAGTACATCATAGTGACGTTCGCAAACATGAAATTCTCCCAAGTCCGGACCTGGATATTTTTTTTCATAAGATATTATCTTGAGAAGTTTCAGTAGAGATTCAACGCTGCCAAATTTCAGCAGATCACGATGAATCATTTCTGTAATATCGGCCATCAAAATAATATAACAATTTCACATAATATTCTGTATCTTCGTATGGAAGGTCAAAAACTATTTTCATATATATACATCAACTCGTCTTGATTTCCCCTACTAACCATTTGGCTATGTGAGTCTTCTCATGAAACACCCTGTATATATGTATATTTATTTCAAATAAGCAACTTATTCAAAAAGACAAACTATTTCGATTGAAATATTTGTTTACTTGAACAAAGCTTTAGTTCATTCAAAAATATTTATAGTTGAAATATAAAAAATGTTGATCCAACTATCATCTCATTGTTCAATCAATCGTGTGCATCGTATCTATTTGACAAAATTATATTAGTTTTGAAAGATTCAAATAAAGACGACATACTATTTTGCTGTTACAACAATCATTCCATTGTTCAATCAATCATATGCTTTTCTCCTCTTCGACAAAATTGAATTGATTTTGACAATATTATACTTTGTTGATTCAACATCATTATCAAGAAATATGTTGTTATTCCATACAGATAATTTTGTTGAACTGAACCACCAAATACATTATATCATTATCTAGTTGCATTTTCACCACTAGATGGCGTTTCTTTCCACCTTCTTACGCTTGCCTCGATTAGGGTGTACAAATAGGTACCTAGAACATTCGTTAATATAATTATATCATAAGCTATCCTAGAAATTCTGATGACACTTGCAAGGTAATATATTCTTGATTCAACTGAGAAAATTAATCTCTTATTTCTCTCAGTTCTGAAATAATTCAGTTATTGAATATCATATTAAAATCAACTCCATGCAATTTATGGAATTTGCTCACCGAATCTCCCACGCAGCAGAATTAATTCCCGTTCATTCTTCTACCGGTTTCACTAATGTTTTTGTTGATAGAAAGTTATTCCGAGTCGAAGACAAAAACATATGTGAACTTAAAACAAATGATCGGCAATGATTCTGCTGCTAGGGTGATAAGATCCAATTAGAATTTTTTCAACTTGTTGCATTTCAGATTTAGCAAACATCCACTCTTCTGCCATTATTCTCCTTGTTTTATATCCTTTCCATGGATGACTAGCTCAAGTTGAGTAGAATTTTGGTCGGAAAAAGTGATCTTGTCCCAAATCTCAAATTGATTGCTATATTTTTCTCAATGGTTCCATCCGATAGTATACCTTGTGCCTCATTAGGGTTCTAATTTGATGTATATATTTCGATTACACCCTACCCTGCCAAAAAAGTCTCGTGGAGAACGATAAAAAAATATATATGAGAACTCATGAGTTTCATGTTGGATAGTGAAACTGTAATTCCGTACAGAACCATATATGAAATTCAACAGTATTAATTATACATTACAGATACACATCTGTGAAATTTATAATGGGAATACCTACCGTAAATCAAACGCATTTCAATGTGTTCTACACTAATAACTCGTATCCGTTTCTTTGTGGCCATGCAGTTTGATAATGAATGGGCATGAATGAGATTTCATACTGGTTACTAATAAGGTTTTATGATTTTCAAATGTTAGCTCCCAAACATAATACCTATCTGTTTCTGATGGCAAATCCAAGAATAATTTCAATATGGTTTGTATAAGTTGAAATTAGTAGATATTGGAAGAGAATGCATGATATTGGAATTGGTAAGTGAAACCGCAAACTCGTACAGAACCATCAACGATATTCATCAGTATTTGATATAAATTAAAGATAGAAATTCTTCTGATTTCCAATGGCAGTCCTATAGGTTTGGAATTTCTTTTGCAGATACATTCATAATTAATTCATAATAGTAATTCCTCACGAACACTACGAGTATAAACTTTGTTTTGCAGATACACTTATTATCAGTTCCTAATTGAAACTCCTCATTCGAACACCGTCGCATTTATACGTCTGCAATGTGTTTTGCAGTTACATTCATAATCAAACTCCAATAGCAATTCCTCACGAACACTACGAGTATGAACTCTGTTTTGCAGATACACTCATTATCAGTTCCTAATTGAAACTCCTCATTGAAACACCGTCTCATTTATGAGTTTGAGATGTGTCTTGCAGATATATTCATAATTGATTCCTAATAGTAATTCCTCATTAACACTACGAATATCAACTCTGTTCTGCAGATACACTTATCATCAGTTCCTAATTGGAACTCCTCATTGAAACACCGTCGGAATTGATAAGTTCGGGATGTGTTCTGCAGATACATTCATAATCAATTCCTAATAGCATATCCTAACGAACACTACAAGTATGAACTCTGTTCTGCAGATATATTGATTAAAAACTCCTAATTGAAACCCCTCATTGAAACACCGTCTCATTTATGAGTTTGGAATGTATTCTGCAGATACATTCATAATTTATTCCTAATAGCAATACCTTACGAACACTACGAGTATAAACTCTGTTTTGCAGATACACTTATTATTAGTTCCGAATTGAAACTCCTCATTGAAATACCGTCGCATTCATGAGTTTAAAATTTGTTTTGCAGATACATTCATGATTTATTCATAATAGCAATTCCTCACGAACACTACGAGCATAAACTCTGTTTTGCAGATACATTCATGATTAATTCATAATAGCAATTCCTCACGAACACTACGAGCATAAACTCTGTTTTGCAGATACACTCATTA